GTCCATTCAGCATCAATCTAATATATAGTGACTTCTAGGAGAGGTTGTTGAGTAAGCGTAGTTCATACCTTTAAAGATAGGGCTAGTTTACGTGAATTATTTTTTAAAAGATTTTTTAATTTTATTTTTCACAATTTGAATTGTTTTATTAAATTTACAGAGAGTGCTTCATTTTAAGAAATCTTGTAGAATGAATTAAGATGAAAAATAGTCTGACAAATGTGTCCTCTTTAGTTATTGAAAAAGATATTTAGTTGAAAACAAGCAAACACAATAAATCATGTTTTTCAGCAGTTGAGTGTAAAGAACTTTCACATGTCTTGCAAAGTTTAAAGATTTGATGGGTATTACTAAGTTTGTCTAGATATTCACGAACTCTTTTTCTTTTTAATCATTCATTATGGTGATCAGTTTTGACAGAATGCGTCCTACTAAGTGAATTTTGAGTGATTTTAAGAGAAAGCACAGCTGATGAATTTTCAAGAGAAGAATTTTCAAGAAAGTAAGATGCTGACATAATAATTGGTAATTTAGAAGATATTTGTAATGTAAATTAATAAATGGACAAAGAAAAACGAGTGATTTTATATAACTTATCAATAATTTTAGATTATATTATAAGTTTATTTCTTTTTAGAATTATATTTCCTATTACATATTACAAAATACAAAAACTTTCAATTATTTCTTCTCAAGATTATAAGAGACAATATGTATTTAAAGAAGCTTGAATGAACTAGATCTTAAATTGAATAAAGATATGCATTTAAGAGAATATGTGTCTATGAAATATGCATTTGAAGGTTCTCTGTATCTAAAATTGCAAGACTTAATTTGAAAAGAATAAAAATCTTTGAATATTATTGTTACAAAACCATATCACTTGTATACTTTTTTATTAAGTTATTCACTGCATAACGTTATAAGTATTTGGGAGCTTTTGATTAAACTTTGATAATTTATTGGACCATATTCTTACTCTACTATTAATGCAAGTTTGGTTATATAATATTATATAACAATGTACTACAATTCTTGTTCGAAGTTTTTAAAATTCTATTTTTATCTTAATTATTAAAATTGATTGAACATTGATACGTTTAACATCACAGTGGTACTGGAATAACAATCTATAATTCATCCCTTTTCTCATTTTCATTTCATTATTTGCAACCTAATTCTCATTGCAGCCACAATCTTTCACATTATCAAATTTTTCTATGGAGCTTTCATCATTGTAATCATTTCACTCTTGATCTATTTGGCCAATATCTACATGCTGCAACCATCCAATTAGACTTACATTCAACTAGATACAGCAAACTTCTGACTATTTTTCTCGATATTGATCACACTGCTACTATGCCAATTAGCAGCTTTCTGATAATACTTGATCACTTTAGCTTTATTGTTATAGATAGTTTTGGCAGTATTAACCTCATTAGCATAATACTGGTCTGTTTTATTACCACTCAAAGGTATGTATTTAATATTTTTATGTTTTACTTCAAACATTCCTCCCTTTCACTTTTATTAACAGTTATCTTTCTCTTTACATCCTCTTTCTTTGCATTATCATCTATTTTATATACATTGACCTTACTATTGTCATCGCTCGGTCATTACTAAAAGGCTTAGTCTCTATCAGCAATTCCAACAAACCTTTCATCATAGCATCTATTTGTGTAATCACAGCTAGTAGTGCTTCTATCATTATCACTGCTCCATCTTGGTGACAATTTGCAATATCAATCATCCTGTTATCAGGTTCTTGGCAATTCTTGAATATCCAATTTTTATCCCTTTTATCATCGATTCTATCGGTTCTGACATTTATGGATTCATCTCCTTTACTGATAGGCACAATCTTTGATCTTATTTCTTCTATTTGTATCATTTTTCACTTTTAGCTAAATTCAAATACCATTTGAATATCTTGATTTTGTCCTTATCAACACTGGTTCCATGTTGATAGCAATTTCTGATATTAAATAATCTATCAACTTCTTCATATTTTCAAGTTTTTTATAACAATTGGATGCCCTATTTTTATCCTCCTTTACTTTATTTCTACTTTCATAGCAAGATCTATCATTGCATGTTGTATTAGCATGGTTTGTCTCTGCTGATCTTTGATAGTGTCAGAATTCTTCTTTTTTATTAAAATCTCTAGGTTTGTATTCGATTTTTATTCTTACTTTTGTACTCATGTTAGCTTTATTGCTTATGCTAATTTTTACTACTTCTTTTGTTTTCACTTATCTTTCTTATTGTTCATATTATTCCTCTTTCTATATTTCTCATTATATTCATCTCTTACTTCCATAAACCTTATAAATCTCATATCATTTACTTTCAGATTCATTTGTAATAAACAGAACTAAACATAACGCCCCTTTTTCTGATATATATAGTATAAATGTGGCTTTCAGGGTTGGTTTTTTTTTTTCTTAACCTCTAGATCCTTTACTATTACTGTAACAATTTTTACTACAAGCTCAATTAGAAAAACTAGATGGTTTACGCAGGTTATTGTACTTTATTTTATTTCTCAGATAATGCTTCTGTGTTGTTGTTTTCTAGTGCTACTTTACTAACAATGTTTTTTTTTCATTTCATATTACTTGTAATTACATGTTCACTTCACAATGCACTTGATTACACTGTTTCTAAACTCAATTGCCACTGAGATACTTTAACTCACTAATCAAGGCAAAGTTCAGTAACTACAACTTTCTTGGGCTTTTACAAAGTTCAAATGCAACAATTTCAGGCAAGTAGGCTGTTTTACTATCCAGGTCCTTGTGTCAAAGTAACTTTTGGTATACAGGGTCTTCTTTTCTTCTTAATTCGAATATCTACTCACTTGGCTATATACACAGAATAGGGTTAATATTTTAGGTACTACCATTCTTTTGCTTCGTTACCTTAATAACTACAATAACTACACAAAATATTAATTAGAATATTTATTTACTAAGCTAAAACTTTTCAATGCTGCTTTATTATTATTAGATTATCAAAATTAAATACAAGATTATTACCAGATATATTATTACCTAGGTTACACACATTATGCAATATATACAATTAGACTATAAATTAATTTTATGCATTTACTAATTTAACGATCATGCAATTCATGCAAATCTGAATCATGCTACTTATACATTCTGATTCTAATTTGGCACTACAAAATCCCAGGATACTGAATTTACCTATAATACTAGCTACAATAAACCAGGTATAAAAACAAAAATGTCTAATAATCAACTATAGATTACATACTGGTTGCTACCACTATTAACTACAAATACTATCAGCATATTATTAACCAAATATAAAACTTGTACTCACACATTAGATATAAACCTATATCACTAATATACTATTATTCTTCTAACTACTCAATACATTACTATCAAGGTAACTAGTATAAACCAATTTTGTATAGATATTAATGATTTACTACAACACTACTCTAAGTTTAATCTACCCAGTATAAGATACACACTGCAACAAACCAGAACAATATAGCACAGGCTCAAAATACTCTTAATAATTTATTATATAAACTATTTGTGGCAGATATTGCTACAGCTTATCTTCACCATCTTAGCTAAATAATTTTCAAACAAAAAATCTACAGTTATATTTATATACCAACACAACAATCCCAAATACTACAGATAGCCAGGCAAGTTTTGTCTGGATCCTTTTACCAACTAATATCTTCTTTTCAACTACAATAATATACTGGCTATCCACTATCAGAGTATATCTCATTGGAGTCATAATAATCCTATTAATTGCTTCACAAAATAGTAAAATCACTATATATACCACACAAACCAACAGTAAACTATATTAACTCAGTTATGCAATACTTATACAATCTTAATATTCTTATTCAGAAACACAATTACTAGTCTCTTAAACAATTAATTCAAATTCTTATTAAATGAAAAAACTTAACT